CTTGATTAGCATCTGTAAAGCCACCTCCCTCCATTTTACCATTGCTTTCTGCTAAATAACCGTCCATAGTATTTTCTTTGAGTACTTATAGAAATGTGCCAAAAAGAAAAAAAAAAAAAANAAAAAAAAAAAAAAATGAAAGACTGGTAGATGGAAGATCAAGGAAATGGTATATGGACAACATGAAAATGAAATATACTGTGCAATCGAGAAATATAGACTAAAACTCAATACCTTCATGGTGTCCACAATTTGCGTCCAACATGGGAATAGGACTGCTTCTAAGAGGGCTAGCTGAAGTCACTTTATCATCAACTTTGCTATCCACAATTAGAAATGTTTGAGGCACAGTCGGCCTTCCCACATTTATAACTCTGTCATCTTCTGGTCCCCAGGATCTGATGATTTGGGATGGAGAAAGAACCTTATCGCTCGGTGCCACATTCCATAAAAGGAAAGGTTTTTTATCTGCTAAGCTGGGATTCGCACATTTCAGACTCAAACCTTTATGTGGTAACCAAACTAACTCGGATAGGGGATCAGATGCTGCAAATGCCATGTCCCCTATTAAGTTTGCATTTACACCTGCACCTGAACTACTGTTCATACTCGACGGAATATGGTAACTGGTAGAACCCAGAGCAAGACCTAAATCAACATCTTCATCATTCATTATCAACAATGTGTCATCATTCGCCATAAACACTGAAGTTAACAAATATATCGAGACAAGTGATTTATGTAGCCTTGATAACCTGGAAATAACCCCAAAAAACCATAAAATCAACTTAGTAGTTATGAGGAGCAGATTTTCACATAGCTAGAGACAATATTTTACAAATCCATACACTAATACAATATACAAAAATGCATAGAGTAGAACAAATATATGAGACGTATCAGTATGCTATGTGAAAATCTGTTCCTGATAAAATATTGCCTACTAGTAGAAGTCACAAAGCTAGATAAGAGTTCGTGACTTCTTCTCGTCAATGTTCTGCAATTTCTTGATGCATGTAAATAAAATCATCTTGTCCATAAACACAGTCCCTCTTATTCGTGATTGGCTATTTAGCCTTGGCCAATAAAAATGTGATTCTTATATTTACATTCATGTTTCGTTTTTTACTATCATATAAAAAACCTACACCTTTTACTTCTTGTATCGATTCAAATATTCTTTCTATAACGGTTTAAAAATCAAGACTTCTTTTGGATACAAATTTGTAAATGGTTTATAAATTAGGTCAAAGTCAAACATTAATTTTAACTTTACATTCATAACTTCAACTTTTATTATTCCCACATTTCGTGGGACCTTCTACTATTCCTCTTTATAAATCATATATGAATTTGCCAAATGGAGACCAATACTAGAGTTCCTTCCCTTTAACCGTTCAAACTTTCAGAAAATGATGTAATTTGTGTTGGAATTTGGTTTAGAGAATGAAAATAAAATTTAGTTAA